ATTCTGATCCTGTCCTAGGTATTACACAAAGGAACTGGTCCCAAACTCTGAGGGTCAGGGAGGATAGCTAACAAGCCTGTTGCACTTGGTCTGGGGAAGGAGAGAAGGAGAAATCAGCAGTGGGTGGAAACTGCCTTTCTTCATTTATAATTCCAGAAATATGCATTGAACATTGCCTGTCAGAGAAACTCTGAACTGGGGTCTGCAGTGGGGGAAGGAGCTGGCAGGGAGGGAATGTGAAATACAATAGAAGAAACCTCTGTACCACTCCCTTGGGGCTTATAGTGCTGTTCTTGAATCAGCACTGAAAGAGGGGGTGAGGGGGAGAAGGACACTCTTATCACTCATCACTCTTTGAGGTCATTCTATGGGCAGCCTGAGTCCCTCCTGTGTAAAAATGCAGGGTGTGGATCAGATCAGGGCTCCACTGGATGGTCCTATCCTTGCCCATGGCTTCTGATTCTTTTCAGGCCACATTCTAACCATGGCCCACTTCCAGGGGTGGAGCCTCTCCAGCTGCCAATTCCCATTATGCAGGACATCTGGGGAAAGGAAAGGGGAAAAAAGGTCCCAGTGCTGATACTGTCCCGAGGCTAACATGAGAATAACAGTGGCCATGAGTACATTCATCTTAAACTACAGTCCAGCCACATTTTTCATTCCATTTTTTGCTAAATCCTAATCAAAGAGCTGGTGTAACTACAAAGTGTGGAAGTAAATTTACCCTAAACTGTTCCAATGCAGCTAATAAGCGAAGGTCGTCCAATTATCACAGAGCTGGCCTCTGACAGTTCGTCACTTTTTCCACTGATCCACTAGACGTGACTAAACCAAACAGGGACTGGCCGGGAGCTGGATTCCCTTTCACTGTGCTCAGCAGGAAGGGGCCAGCATCATCCTATACCCATGTCATGAACCTGACATAACCCTTAGTCATGGAAGAGGCCTGGCATGTCACCAAGCACAGGCTTTTACTTTTAGCTTAGCCTGTGCACCCTGTGAAATTTTAATTATTTCAAGGTCCAAACTGTATGCAAGATGCAGGGAGACCAAATTTCCAGATGAGAAAACAAGTCATGTTGCTATTTCAACAGCCATCTATTACAACACTGAACGGCAGGGCTCAGCAAACATTTGATCTCCCATAAAAGTTACAACTTAGACAATGAATTTATTATTGGTTGGTCTCTTTATACGTAACAGAAAATACAGAATCAAGGATATATATACCAACAAAGGTATTTATAGTAAACACTCAAAAAACTTCCATTGCCCCTTAAGTTGAATTTTCTCTATTAGAGAGTAAAAAAAATGTGAAGAAAAACACATTTTAGAAGGAAGAAAGCAGAAAAGGAACTAGCAACATAGAAGCCGATTTTGATTTTCCTTTTTCATATATAGTTTTTCTATTCTGATTTTTGAAATAAAACTTAACTTTTTTTATTATTTTGCTGTACATATTGCTGTACAGTAAATCCTCTTGTGGATCAAAGCAGGGAAATAAATAAAGTGATAATTACAGGAGCTGATGGGCCACCCTCGTTTCCTCCACGTTCCATCCTTCAGTGCATGTGGAACTCAGGTTACATGAACGATTCCAGGAGAGGCAGGAACTTCTTGTACTTCGCATTCAGAATAACTCTAGGTACCTAAACTCCCCAAAATTCAGGCAGGGAGAGCATTTTTTAAAAGGAAAAACAATCTTAACCAATCTTTAACCTGGAGACTTTAGCCACTTGCCAAAATATACCATCTTCTTGAGCCAATAAATTGAAAGCAGGAGAGAGGGAGTGTGGCTGTAACTGGATAAGGGGCAGGGTTTTAATTTTTTATAAGCAGGGAGAGGAGGATACCAATATGGTTAGTCAGCCAGTATTAATCCTCATTAATGTCTCCCATTCAAATCCATTCTCCTCTGCACAGCTGTGCAAATATAAAGTAATTGGGTCATTTTGACAAAGGCACACAAGAAAAAAATATTTTCAGTGAGGCAAAGGAACTAATTGGATAAATAACACATTCTTTAAATATGTGGGCAGGACTGCTGAAATGACTACATCATGGATTGAGGGACATACATTCAAATTCATACCTCTGTAAACTTCCCTGTGTGAGAAGCTACCAAGAGCAGAGGGTGGGGACATGTTCATGACAAAGCATGTCATAAATGACTGGAGTGAGACTGGTAGCGCTTACTCTTCATCAGGCACTGCCAGCTGACTCCAGAGACCGTGTTTCTTAGCTTGACACTGTCCTGTTTTCTATACACTTGGCATTATGCTTACATTATGAAGAGTAGAAAAAAGGTCGGGCCATTTCTTGCCCTTAATACATTTATAATCTGGGGGACCCTTGAAATAATCAGAAAACTGGAACCACGAGTATAGCATTAGAGTTTGCATTTTTTTAGCTGAAGGAAGCAATTTATAGGAGCTGGGGGAAAGTGGTTATAATTTGAGAAGGATTTCTACCAGACTCAAAACTTGAAAAAAAGATACAGGGAGAATACTATACTTGAGAAAATGCTGATTCATTCCTGCCATGGTATGAGTGTTCAAAAAGGTTTCTCCCTTTCAGAAATTTCCCCCAAGAAAGGACAGGGCAGTCAGCCCATCCCCCAGCTTCATGTTAAGGATTAATAAAAATGCCCACAGCCTCCCAGAAACCCAGTGAGAGAGGAGACAGAAGTTCCTGGAGTCTACTCTGACCAAGGTGTGGCAACCTCTCCCAGCCTCTAGAGACTAGAAAGAGAGAGGAGATGATTTGCATTATCACTTCAGTTCTTTTCATTGGAAATTACCATTCTAGGACCTCTGATGGATAGAAAGGGGCAGATTTCAACTAAGGACCTGTGAACATTTTCAGAAAAGTGGTAGGGTTCCAGGAACTGGAGGATGAGTACAGGTATGATAAAAATTATCCTGCAATTTACACAAGATTCACAGCCCTCATGACTGTATAAGTAAGTGTGTGTGTGTGGAAGGGGGAGTTGGAGGGAGGGACATGATAATGGTTCTCATGCAATCTACTTCCACTTACTTTGCTGTATTTAAATTTCTGTTGTGTTCTTAATGTTCAATTTCAGGTGAACATGAATTTAAAAATTGCTGCATTTTTAAGTGGGCTGACACACTGCTGTGATGAAGTCCTTTCCCTCTGCATGGACAAAATGCAGAATTTGGTCAGAAGAGCTGGGGAGCATATGGGTAACTGACACCACCTTGACTGTGCTCAGGTTTCATGAGGTATCAGGTGAAGATGTAAAAACAAACCCGCTGACACCTGTGGTGAAAGGTAGGTCGAATGCACAGAGAGAAGGGCCTGCAGGTTGTCCGTTTTCAGGCAGGCTCCCAGGTCAGCACTGACACTCCTGAGAGCCCAGGCAGGGTCATGGTCTTTAGGGCAGAGGAAATAGTCCCAAAATGTCCCAGAGAAGACCAAAGAGCTCAATTTAAGCTCCTGATCAGTGGTTCTCAACTCCATAGAATCACAAAACTACCAGAGAAACTTTGAAAAAATATTCATGCTGTGCCCTACCTACCCTAGCGATCCTGGTTCAGAGGGTCTGGGAGGTGGGCGGCTGGACACTGTGATTCTAACATGTAACCTACCATATCAAACACAGCCAAGTCTGAGATACCTAAGCATCAGTGAATGTAGCCACTAAGTCAACAGATGCTGAAATGAAGAGAATTTGTCTGTTCCTTTGAAAGCTTACTCTAAACTTTGTTTCTTTCTGGATCTTGAGGAACTCAAGAGTGTGAGCTGCCTGGATTACAATCCTAGTTATACCACTTATTAGCTAAGTGACGTTGGACAGGACACATGACTTCTCTGAGACTCTGTTTTCTTAGCAATACAATGGGATTAACAATCATACCAATACCAGGGGGGGAATTGAGATGATTGCATGAATCAAGAATAAATTATTTGGCCCAATGCCTGGCACATGTAAAATGCACAATAAATATTAGCTACAATAACTGATGATGAAAGTAAAAATATGCTAGTTATATTTCAATGAAAAGGATGTTTTTCTAGACTGGGTCAGATTTTAAGGAATTGTGAAACACTGGAATGTGAGGTTTAGAAATTTAGTATTTCCTTCAATTATGAATATAGACAGCAAACCTCAGTAGTCGTAGCATTATTTGATTTTGTGATCAATAGAAATCACATATATTTCAACATATTACAGTCATGGTAGAGACCCTAAAATAGTATTTATATTTAGTGCAACCAACTGTCCTGGTTTGCGCAGGATTGAGAGATTTCTCAGGACGATAAAACTGGGAAAGACCCAGGAAAACCATTCCTTACCTAGATTCATCATTTGAAATGATGGCAGTTAGCACATCACTGGATACTACTGTTTAGTGTGTTAATAAAGATGCATCTACCCTGCTATGTCACAATTTCAAAAAATATCTTGATAAATGTATATCTACATAACTTGTGTCCTTTATAATGTTTTGCATTTCATTTGATGCATTTAAAAGCATTCTGAGTCCACAGGCTTCACCAAATTTCCACAGGGGGTCCACGGCACACAAAAAAGGTTAAGAGGGGAGAAACTGGAAATGTTGGTTGGAAAACAGAGGAATTTGGATTTTAAGTTCCCTTCAGCTTTGCAAACTAAAAACATGATAAAAGAAGAGATAGGCATGTATCTCCAAAGGACACAACTATATATTCAGTTGATGGAATTTTTCCACGACCAGGAGTTTCTGTCTTGTTATTCCACACATAGTAACCAGGAAATCTCTGTAATTCTCCACTCCTGATGACATACATATGTGTATTTTGTTACTTATATTGTTGCAGCGTTAACTCAGTCTTGACAGCTATCACTTGGAGTATCTGTTAGGTCTACTTGTTTCCAATAACTACAAATACTTCTCCTATAAATCATAATTTGACAGAACTTAAAACTTTATATGAATTAAATTTGGATTTTGAAATATCAAGCTTTAGAAAATGATAGAAACTTTAACTCTTACCGGATACCACTGGGCTTCTGACAGACATCGGCTCCCATCTTGCCTAATCACTGTTGACAGCTGGCCCGTTACTCTCCCACATGGCAGTAAGAGACCACTTCTCTTCATATCAATGTAACTCCAAGCTGCCTGTCCAATGTGGCCAGAAGGCAGAGTTCTCACAATTGCCCTTGTCCCAGTATACACAGATTTCTTAACTTCCCTGTCATTTTTACAAAATCTCCTTACTAATAAAGTGGACCGCTCCTTTTTACTTTTAAAATAATCTTCTACATCTTCACAATTATCAGGGAAGTCCTCAAAATGGCTCAGAAAGGTCTCGGCAGATGGACTATCAGTAAAATCCTCCCTGCAAAAGCTGTCACTTGAACATACCATATTGGCCTTTCGGCAGGAACCTTCACAGCACAAGTATTCATCATTCATGGTGTCACAATGATCACACTGTAGCTGCCCGTTCTCATTATCACAGCTTTTTGTCAATTCCATCAGTTTACAAGCATATGCCATATAATTTTTCTTTTGCTCCCCACCAACATTAGGCAGTGGAACACAGTTTCCACAATCATCCAAAATCAAGTTATTTGATAGGGTACAGAAAGTGTCTGACATTCTTCTGTCAAGTTCATAATGAAAGTGAAATACTGTCAAGTCGCTGTTAGGGTGTGCGCCACTGGTCTCTATGACTGTCGATTGATTTCCTAAGGGACTGATGCCCATGGGACGTCCCTCTATTTCCAGTTGAATTCCAGGGAACACCTTTCTTTCCAGTGAAGAAGGGATTCCAGTTTCCAAACAGAGGCCTTCCTCTGTGACAGAATCACATGTTTCATAAAATTGGCTCTGAGGAAGACCACACTGATGGTTTTCCAATACGTTGTTATAGTTCATGTTAAGGTTTTCCACAGAATCTGGCATGCTTTTCTCCCAGCATGTTTCATTACTGTTTTCATCACTCATTATTTTCTCCCTTGCTATCGAGAGAATCTTAGGCAAGTTGCTTCCAGAAGATTCTTCTTTAAGTTTGTTTGGTTTTGAGATGGTATGAGAAGCCCGCCCACTCTGCCTGACAGTGTGTGCCTTTGGAACACTGACGTCTGAAGCCTTTTCATTACTTTCATCTACAGCTGACTGAGAAGACACCACTTTTCTCTGAGTCACAGGTATGAGATTAGAAGCTGCCATTTCTTCAGAAGTCATCTTGACCAACACGCAGGTTTTACCTACTACTCTGTTTCTCCTCCCTAGTAATCATATCAAGATTTTAATAAAACAACTGGTTATTAAAAAAATATCATATATAAAATTCCTTTGAGAAAATGACAGTTCCTTTGATTCAGATGCATTAAGAGCCAGATAAATTTCCCCAGTTTTAACTTCCCAGCATGTGTAATATGTTTTTCTAGATCAGGGTTTTAGAGTAGTAGATCAATTTTCTTTCCTCTGTTATTTAAAGCAATTCTTTTGAAGACTTCTATTTGGGATTGCATTCTGCAACTTCTGATCCATCACTGACTTGTAATTATTTAAAAATCCAGTTTGAATGTTTCCTGTAAAAAAAAAAAGGGGGGGGTATGTCAAACACTGTGGAATTAAATGAATTTTTTAATAAACTCATAATTCTAAGCAAATGCAAAATATGAACCAATTTTGGGGAAAGTGTTTTGCAATCAGAAGTTAGTTTTACAGTCACAGGCTATAAAGTACGGCAAAGGGAATAAAGTTAATCATATTGTAATAACTATGCTTAGTGTCAGATGGGTACTATATTTATTGGGGGTGATCACTTAGTAAGTTACATAAATGTCTAATCACTATGCTGTACACCTGAAACTAACATAATATTGTATGTCATCTATAATTAAAAATTTTTTTAAAAATTTAAAAGATAAAAAAGAGGTTATTTTAATGCTGTGGGTCTTTGTTTTTCTGATTTAATATTTCAGCACTTCTCTTTCTAGTCAAAATGGAGTAACAGGAACCAAATTTATCCTTTTCTCTTAAACAACTGAAAAAAATCAGAAAAAATAATGAAATAATGGTTTTCAGAGATTGAACAATAGGCAACAAAGAACAGTGATCCCTGAAAGAAGAAAAATAATTAGGTGAGCCCTATAAATGTCCTAGCTTACGGCTTCAGAGTATGTAGGCTACAGGGGAAAGATGTGGAACTTAGGTAGAACACAATGGTGTGACTGATTTAAAAAACACACACACACACACAAAGTTGAGAGTTCAATGAGACTAAGAAAGCTAGAGAAAAAAGACAAATTAAGTACAGGGGGCAAAGATAAGAATGATATCAGGCTTCTCAGCAGAAATAATGCAAGCCAGAAGAGAGTGGAATAAATCTTTAAAATACTGAAAGAAAAATGTACCAACTTAGAATTCTATACCCAGCAAAAATATCTTTTGAAAACAAAAATAAAATAGTTTTAGGCTTATAAAAACTGAAAGAACTCATTATTACATACAAGAAATCTACATACAAGAAAGGGTAAAGAAAGTCCTTTAGGCAGAAGGAAAATAATAGCAGACAGTATCTATGCAAAGGAATGAAGAGCATGAAAAATGTTAAATGTGTAGATAAATACAATTTTTCTTACTTTTAAAATCATTTTAGATAATTGACCATTTAAAGCAAAAATGATAACAATGTATTATGGAGTTTCTAAACAAATGCAGAAGTGAAATGTATTACAATAGCACAAAGGTCAAGAGAAGGGAAATAGATTGGTACTGTTATTAAGATTACTTTCTAGCCCGGCTAGGCAAGGCTCAGCAGTTGAGCATCGATCTAGGACCCAGGAGACCTCAGTTCGATTTCCGATCAGGGTACATGTCCAGGCTGCGGGCTCAATCCCCAGTTGGCTGTGTGCAGGAGACAGACGATCAATGATGACTCTCTCATCATTGATGTTTCTCTCTCTCTCTCTCCCTCCTTCTCCCTTCCTCTTTGTGAAATCAATAAAGATATATTTAAAAAAAAAAAAAAGATTACTTTCTACATGAATTGGTATAACATTATTTAAAGGCAGGCTGTCATAAATTAAAGATGTATACTACAAACCCCAATGCAACCACTTTTTTAAAAGCCATAGTTAGTATGTCAAAATATTAGAATCATAAAAAAAAATTCAAATTATAAAAAAGAATGCAGAAAAAGAGGAAAAGGTGAACAAAGAAGAGAGGTGCTGAGTGGGAAACAAATGGTGGTTTGAAATCTCTCAAAAAGGCTCTTTAGGCCCTGGCTATGTATACAACTAAACAAATACCAGATCATATTTTACCTGCTGCTTTATATCTGCTTTTTAAATTTTAAAAGATGAACAGCTTTTCATGTCAAGAACTATACAAATAACTTTAATAGCTTATGGCACTTACTTGGTGTCTTTGCTCTATTTTCTTAGGGTAATTTTTCAAGTGCTTGACAGTTAATCTGTCCTTTCTTACCCATGAGGAAGGTGATTCAAGGTAGGTACTGCTTAAGTCCTGTTCTAAGCATTTGCTACTGTTATCTCATGTAATTATTACTCAACCATATAAGATAGTGTGACAGTGTAAAATATATCTACAAATTCTCTGATGCTCCTCCCTTCAAAAGGTGGAGCCTAATTCCCTTTCCCTTGAATGTAGGCTGTAGTTCATGACTTCCTTATGACATATAGAATGTGGTGGAAGTAGCAGTGTATGACTTCTGAGAATAGATCATAAAAGTTACTGAGGTTACTTTCATGTTCTTCCTCTCTTGCTTGCTCTGGGGGAAATCAGCTGCCATGTCATAAGGAGAGTTCCCTGTGGCAAGAATTGAGGCTCCTGCCAAAAGCCACTTGAGTGAGCTACCTTGGAAGGGGATCCTCCAACCTCACTAAAAGCTTCATATGACTGCAACCACAGTCTACATCTTGGCTGTAACCTCATGAGTGACCCTGAGCCAGAACCACACTCAGCTGAGACCCTCCAAAATTCCTGACTCACAGAAACTGAGAGATAATAAATGCTTATTGTTTTGAGGCACTAAATCTTAGGGTAATTTGTTGCACAACAATTGATAACTAGTACAAATAAGTTCTATAATTATCCATATTTGACAGATTAGAAACCAGAGGATAGAAAAGCTAAGTCACTTGCCAAAGATCACACCACTGAAAAATGGCGGAGTCAGGATTCAAACCCAAAGAATCTAACTCCCAAACCTATGCTCTTCACTACAGTTATGCTGCTTTCTTTGCTATCTAGTCTGAAACCCCATGAGTTTGAATTTCTGATATCCCAGGCTGCAGATACTCATGGTTTCTGGGAGACTCTCTTTTATTTGAGTTTGTCTCTGGAAGGCTGTCTTTGTTTTGCCTGCAGCTGTAATCAGGACTGAGCAACATCAGAGGGAGCTGACTCCCTGGAGCACTGTCTTGGCTCCATCTCATGCCATTCCGTTATTCAACAAATATTTATCGAGTGCAAAATTAAATGAGGCAGGGATCTGCCCTTGATTTCCTTACAAGCTAATAAATCATCAGTAAGGTACAGTGCAAATAGGGTCATGATCTGGGTTAACAAATAGGAAGAGCAGCTAAATCAGATGGTACGGGCAAGGTAAAAGTTTCTCAAAAATTTCACTATGATGGAAAAACAATACTAGGGTAACTGTCCAAGCTGGTAACAGAATTTAATAGTCCTAATTGCATCTTTAAACTTAGAGTTTTATAGAGTTTTATAGAGTCCCTATGAGTATACAGTGTATGACAAACAACCATGCCACAGTTATTTACTTATGCATTCTCTTCCCTAAATCCCACTCTGCAAAGAGATTAAAGAAAACATTTTGTCTGCACAACCCTTTCCTCCCCTTCTCCCTACCACATACACACACTGTGCACAGTTGTAAGTGTGCACACCCACACCCAAACCCTACATGATGAGTCAGTCTTCACTATTTCACCACTGAATGTCTGCTGCTCCACTCCCTCCTGACCTCCTTTCTCTGCACTATTATGATGGAAATTCCATAACTCACAAAGACACAGAGATTTTAAAACATTCTCCAAAGGCATTGGTGTACTAATCTGGGTCCTTTCCCAAGACACCAAACACTTAACCCTTCGTAAGGTCTACTTTCTTTATTAGAAAAGTTTCAGTCTGGGATGCAAGACTTGTGACCCAGAAAATCCAGAGATAACCTAATCTTTATACTCTTTGTGTATATTAGATATCAGAGATTGACTGGTAGGTAGATTAGAAACGTACAAAAGTATTTTTGAACTAATACACTGATAATATAGTAAAATGGGGAATCACAAGCAAGTTTGTCTATAACAGGTTAATTCTCAATTGTAAACTCACGAAGAAAGAAAATCCTCACTGTAAACACAGTCTCCAATCACCTTGCAAATAAAGAAAGTTTTACCTCTTTCTTTCCAAAATGTGTACCTTTTATTATCTCTTCTTGCCTTAGTGTACTGACTAGGATCTCCAATTTTGAAGCTAATATAAGTATGAAGAGCACACATCCTTGGTTTGTTCTCAGTCCTAGAGGGAGAATATTCAACGCATTGCTATTTAATATGATGTTAGCTCTAGGTGTCTTACGGATGCCCTTTATTAAACTGAGGATGTTCCCCTGTATTTCTAGTTTGCTGAAGTTTTTATTGAGTTTTACCCAATGCTTTTTCTGCATTTATTGAAATGACTATATGATTTTTCCCCTTTAATAGGTTGGTAAACTATTTTGATTGATTTTCAAGTACTGAAACAATCTAGCAAATTCATAGAACATGTAAAGGAACTACAGTGGCCAAAAATAACTGGGAACACAGCCTAATTTAAAGACTACTACAAAGCTACAATAATCTTGACAGTGTGTTACTGACATAAGGATAGAAATTTAGATGAATAGAATAGAATAGAGTCCAGAAACAGACCCACACATATACACTCAAGTGGCTTTTCATCGAAGGTGCACAGGTAGTTCAATGGGAGAAGGACAATCAATAAATGGTGTTGAATCCAAACAGAAAAAGAACAAACATTAACCCTTCCATCACGTTATACACAATAATTAATTCAAAATGGATTATATACCTAAAGTTAAAATCTAAAACTATAAACCTTCTAGAAGAAAGCAGAAAAAATGTTTATGACCTTGGGATACAGCAAAAATTTTATAGACAAATCATAAATGGCACTAAACCATTATTTAAAAAGGTAAAATGGACTTAATCAAAATTTAAATCTTCTGCTCTTCAAAAAATTTGCATTAAGAAACAAAGACAGGCCACAGATTAGGAGAAAATATTCACAATACATGTACCTGAAAAAGTTCTTGTATCCAAAATATATAAAAAATAACCCTTACAACTCAATAATAAGCAGGTAAAACCCAATTTTTTAAACAGGCAAAAGAAGAGTGTGTTTTTTGAAAACACACTTCACAAAATTATAGTAAATTGTGACAGAGCAACCCAAGTTTCTGTACAAAAAAAATGAACCTCACTCCCTTCCTCACACCACACATAAGAGTTAAAATGGTTCATAGTCTTAAATGTAAAAGCTA